TTGTATGCAAACTTTTGTCAAAAATTCACCGTGGGATCAAAACTGTATCGTATGCCCTTAAGGAAGTGTTTCGTCTTATTTGTTTATATAGTTTGATTATGCAAGGTGTTTTTTCAACTGAATTATGAATTAAAGGGGAATTACCTACGAGATATAAAAAAAAAAGATTTTTTTTTTGTTTAATCATTAATGAAAGTGAAATAGTGAAATAATAATTCGCTTTTAGCAGCCAGTTTAGTTCAATTTTGTCTAAATAAGCTAAAAAACATCGCTGATGAATGGTTCACTTGCAAGTGAATAATTCGATCTCAATGAATCCGTATTCATGTGACCTTCAATTTAACCCACTAGCAAGAGATTGGTTACGCATGTATTAATCGTGTTCAGCAATTATAAGGAAAAGAATGTCAAAATTGAAAGTGAAACAAAGGTGAACCATTTCGTTTACTGATTCGATCCAAAAAAAATCATTCTTATACAGATAAAAACGATAATTAACTCTTTTTTTAACCTATAACATGAAATCAAACAGACCTGGAAAAGTCCAATTGCACAAGGTCGCTATCTATTTATATTTATGTTTATGTGATCGTCGTCAGTCTTCGGAGGTCATCTCGATCACAGGGATTCGGTTAGTAGATTAAACAAATTTTAATCAATGTTTTTTTATTGTTTTTTAGTATTTCCTAGGATTTTTCAGTATACGGACATGGATAGTAAACTGCACATTGCTAGAAAACAAAGACATATTAATGCCATCGTTAAATACGTTAATAAAGTACAAATAGATAGGAAATAATAAAAAATAAATAAAAAAACATTGATTTTTTTTTTAAATCTGCTAACTGAGTCCATTTGATCTCGATGGTTCATTAGATGGCGTCTAAACTAAAATACACACAAAATGCTGATATATATTCGCGAACCCATGCATTGTTAATTGTTTATTTCAGACTTATTGTAATTTGGATATACGTTTTAGTAAGTTATAAATCAAGTATGAGAATTTGAGTCAAATCGATGAACATGAATTTGACAGCTAATGCCGCTTTATTAAAACAAGACTTGTTATAAATATGAAGAAAACAAACCAATAACATGGATAGTATCATCATATATCAGTCGTTTATGTATATCCTACATCCGGGATTTTTTATTCATATACATGTATGAGCAAATGAACGAGTTCTTGCACCTGGGGGATTACACGAGTATCATGTGAACTTTTTACTACATATAAAAAAGCAAAAACAGAAATAACTAGTGTAATCGCTTTATTTCTAAAGATTCGTAGCCGTGTCACAAATGTCAAATGCCACATTGTTGATCTAGTTCTTCGTCAACATCAATATTATTTCCATTAAACGGGAAAAGCTTTAAACACAAAATCTTAGTCTATTACACTAAATTAAGTCTTACCTAAATATAAAACTTAACAATAAAACATTTTAAAATATTATGAGTTTGGATACAAGAGAAAGTTTTTATAAATGATTAAGATTATTCATCAGTCATTTGATAATCATCAATAACAAAACATGAATGAAATAATTCAAAAATAAGTTTTAAATCCAGCATAAAACACGTTTCCATATGCACGGAAAGGAATCTTATTACGGGACATTCTATACAATTTAACATTATATCATTTGTTTTCGTAATTGCACTTATGATCTGACACGCTGCAACCAATCAAACAACACTTTAAAAAAATCGTAGTATCAAAGTAATCGATAGATAAGTCAATCATGCAACCTAGGTAGCAATGTTTATAAACAGGGTTTGAGACAAACTGTAATGGCAGTTTTATACATTGGAATATTTCTACAGATGAACCACGTGACATGCGCATAAAAATAAGAAAGACATTTTTGTTAATTGAAACTAAATTAGAGAACAGACTTTCATAAAAAGGAAAGAAAATTCACGTCTTATAAACATAAAAGTACATAACAAATTGATATTCCAGCATTACCAAACGTTCTAATTAAAATCTTTAATTTTCTTTGGATGTGACTGACAGGATTCCTAGTAACATGGGTCATGTTTCACGTTTGAGTTAACTATATGCTTGACACATCATCTAAGTTTTCTGAATAATTATTATAGAAGCAATATTATTTTAAACTGCTGTAGATGTACAAGTAGGTTCCCAGCTAGAATTTGACTTAACATCGGGATTATACTTACATGAGCAACACGACCGGTGCCACATGTGGAGCAGGATCTGCTTACCCTTCCGGAGCACCTGATACCCCGGTTTTGGTGGGGTTTGTGTTGCTCAGTCTTTAGTTTTCTATGTTGTGTTTTGTGTACTTCTGTTTGTCTTCGTCGTTTTTCGTTTTTTTTAAATGGCATTGTCAGTTTGTTTTCGTTTTATGATTTTGAATATTCTTTTGGTATCTTTCGCCTCTCATTTACGTCAATAGTTATCTTAAACAGAAAGTTTATATGGAATGAAATTTTGTAAAATGATAACCTCAAAATACCATTCGATAAAAATCCCAAGAAACTATCGTTATTATTTTGGTATTGACTAGAACAATAAAGCACGGATATGCAAACATTTTTAGGAAATGAAAACATTTCATTTGGCGAGCCTGAAAACTGTTTCTTCATCTAGAAATCTGACATTGTAGCAATAAATGTTGATTTGACTTATCTGACCTCCCAGTTTGTTCTGGCTGCTTGTCAAAGCTAATCAGGGATTGTAGATCTACGTTTTAAAATTACTGTTTATTAGCAATAAATGAATTTTATTACAAGATGAAATGAATTTAAACTCAACTTATGAAGATGTATGAAATATTAAGTCAAATATTTTAAAATTAACTTTCATATCTCCAGATATCTTTTAGAAATTAAATGACTTACAATATATGATTGACTTATCATAAATATTACCCGATTTTATTTCAGAAAAAATATGCTTTCGTTACAAGACCTGATAATTTAAAAAGAATATATTCAGGTAGTCAGATATTGCGATTTTCATGATATATTAATCTCGTAAAATGAATATGAAATCCTAATAAATGCTTCACAATGACCGTGCAAATCTCATAAAAAGATCGTAGAAACGTAATTATATTTTTTTTTTTATGAAGAATGTTATAATGATACATAGAACAAGTCACAATGACTGGCAGATGTATGGTTCAAGTCCACTGTCAAATAGCTCGTGCATATTACGTTTTCTATTTAGGAAAGGGTGGTTGGAATTCTATATAAATGTCAATTGTATTTTTTACCTAATTTGACCATTAACCACTTGTGCTGAGTATGTGGTAGCCCTAACCGTTTGTGTTAATGGGATTGCATGAGTTTTACTGGATGTGGGGTATAAAATGGTTGAACTAATAATACACATTAATTTTACCGATCGTTTCTAATAGAAAAGGGGCGAAAGATACCAGAGGGGCATTCAAACTCATAAATCGAAAATAAACTGACAACGCCATGGCTAAAAAAGAAAAACAACAAAACACAACATAGAAAAATAAAGACTTAGTAACACGAACCCCATAAAAAAAACTGGGGGTGATAATAGTATATTCTGTATTGTCTATTTTTGAGCGTTATTTGTTTTATTGAAACCTTATGAACATGATGAATAGTCTAGATAATCTGTTTACTGGAAACCTGTGTCAATTTTGCATATTTAGGTTTAGGAGATCGTGAATATGTTAAGTGTATTAGTATGTTATCTCATGATTGGATGAACATCATCGATTTTGAAAAAGTTGCTGAAAAAGCTTCTTAAAATTAATAGTTCATGTCGACAGTAAATTTCAAAATAGGGATGCAATACTTAAATCAATTTGGCCAGGGTATTGGAAAAATATCTGTTCTTCTGGTTGTTTTTTGTTGTGTGTGTGTGTGTTTGTGTGTTTTTATGTGGTATTTAATTTTAATGACTCGTATGGACGTAGATTATTTTGTTTAGAAAAACCATATTTCCCTCTTCTTGAGAGTAACATCACTAGTCCTCAATATGAAATGCAAATATAACTTTATGTATTTGGTGCGTCTGAAGCTCTTATCTGGATTAATCATCGTCGGGAATGCTAAAACCCAAACATTTGAAAGCCAAGGATGTATGAATACTTGAATACGTTAGAATATACCCTATTTGATATACTTGATGATATACCGTATTTCAAATATTTCCTATTTATAAGAAGAACAATTATTACAAATAAGTAAAAACAAGTTAATATATCGCGATATTTACTTTATATTAAAATTACTGTCCTGTCCATTAGCCACATTCCGGTATCTCTATGGCATTGACTTATCAAACAATGTGAGTTACACGCAGAAATCATACAGTTCCGGAATACTTGAGGGTTGGTGTTGGGTCTTTTTTAAGGATTCCGAGTAGCATTTTTTCGGCATTTTTTTTGTTTTTTTGTTTTTTTGTTTTTTGATTTTTGCTTTTGTTTTTTGTTTTTTCTTTTGGTCATCGTATTTTCTGTCCTTTTCGACTAATAATTCTGGTTGCATCATAAGAAAGTCCTTACTGTTTTCAAACAAAGAGTTATATCCAAATCTACAGATCACTGGCAGAGATATCACCCCCTGTTTTATGAATATAACGAGACAGTGAGTTAGGACGGCTTTATCAAAATTAGACCAAAGAAACATATAATTTACTTTTAAAAAAAGAGAGATAGAAAAATAAAATATTTGTGATGTATCAAATGTGTAATCAGAGAATGGCTTTGGATATAATCTTTACGAACTATATCATTTTACAAATACAATACTATACCAGATATACAACAATTGGAAATTGTATTCAAATTAACGCAAAACCAAAACCACAATCATAAGTTTGATACATATACTGCATTTAAATTTTCGTCGGTACAAAACCCTCTGTTATTTATTTATATATAATAGTATGTAATAGTTACCACTTTGACTCTGAAGATATCAATTGGAGGTTTATCTTTAAATATAGGTATATATGATTGGAGCATCGATTATTTACGTCAAAAATATTTGGTTCACTTACGCTTTCTACTCGCACTTTATATTGTAAGACATTTAAAATTACTGGCATTCATTCACAATACTTGTTTATTGAAGGAACGTATAGTCTAGAAAAAAACTAGGTAGGCATATATTATCATAACGTTCAGTGTGTAACGTTTAAATATATTTGTTTATTATTTTGTTTATATTTTTTGCTTTATTCTCATGTTGCATATCTTAATTTTATTCAATGACATTTAAATGACTTTCAATTGTAAAAAAAATCGGGTTGACCAGATATATTGATCTTTTTTTTTTCTGAAATACAGGTCGATCAGATAAGAAAAACACTGCATAAGTATTTTTTTAAAGTAAAATCGAAAACTTTTTTTCCTTCTACTCATCTTAGTATATTTTACACTATTCATTTGTTGCGTTTTTTGTGTTTTGTTTGCATACATATGACATCAATTTTAGTTGTTGACTTCAATCAATTTGCAACTTCTGACATAAGCTATATATTTTTATCAAGTGTGCTGTTTTAGTTTAGTAGCTTGAATATTATAAAGGGTCGACTATCTTCATTTTTTGTTATATGCTACGACTTTAAAGATTAATTCATTTATAACATTTCTGAAAAAAATCGGATGTGAGATTTTAAGAAAACAAAAGCAAACAAAAAGCTGTGTTCGAGGGTAATTTCACACATAGTCGTATTAAAGTACCACTATCGGACCACGATATGTTTACCTTCAAGAGTACCTGAGACATCCTTTCCACGGTGTTGCCCACGATATGTTTACCTCCCGGAGTACCTGAGACACCCCTTCCAGGGCGTTGACCACGATAGGTACCTTCCGGAGTACTCGACACACCCCTTCCACGGTGTTGTAGACTGTTGTCTGTCCTATTGTTTGTTTTCTTCGCTTTTTGATTGTCCTCTTGGTATCTTCTACATCTTTTATTATTTTTTTTATATAAAAATAGGAAGAAAAGTATGTATTTTTACTTATGTAAATAAGGTTCAGGAAGGTTAAAATCGTGCAAAATATATTAATATAAAGAAACCAAAGTCATTTCAATCTTTTAAAAACAAATCAAAATAAAATGAAAACAATAGAAATCAATGACTTGGATCAGAGTAAGGAATTATTATAGTTCATCGACAACGTCTCCTGCAATGCATACGTCATTCATCATACGATGCCCAAATAAAAGTTGTAACGACAAGCGAAAACGCGTAGCAAACAATGACATAATTCATACTTGACTTTACGAACATTTATTTCACGCAAAGATGTTGTTTTCTGTTTTGACTTTTCAAATAAATAAAAAAAAATGACCTTAATGATCCTGGATAAAGTTTCACATTCGGAATAAGCGTGCGTTCCTCTAAATGAAGATAGCCTTTGTTTAAAACAAATATCCATTGTTAATCAGCATCAATGTGTTGATTGTTTGGAATAACAAGAATTTACCCTCTTATAGTGTAATACCCTATAAATTAATTGATAACCTTGCGTGGCAGGCGTCCTTATATTTGGTATTATATATCACATACATCACAAAAATGTATCAGTGTCGAGCTGTCAAGTAAAATCTATAAATTCGTAAAGATAAAGTAGATTGCACCATTATGTCAACAAAAGTTTAAAGGAGATATAGTGTGGTATATATTTACCTATATTGTGCCAAATCAGCATAGTATTTCCTCAGTAATCATGTCATTACCTTAAAATTCCCTTTTAAAAAAAATTAAATTCATCAAATTTCAAAGTTGCCATTAATAAAATACTTTTTTTGCAAATGGTAACACAATGCTCGCCTCGTATTTTCGTTAACAAAATAATGTTTTGTGCACGTATCAGATCTGTATATATTGATAAACAAAAATACAATACGCAAAACAGTTGATCATTTTACTTTTTTTTTACAGATTTATTATCAAATAAAAATGAACGTATTGATACCTGAAATAAAAACGAAGAAGAAAAACGTCGATCTATTTAGACAGAGCATGTTTGGATTAAATACACCAATATCTGAATGTCGAAGACGAAACAAATTAGACGATTTCGATGGAATACGGAGCATTTTGTCACAAAGGTATGTATTCTTTTATAATATTCTATGGCAACTTTGATGTGTATAAAAAACCAGTATATTTCATAAATGAAAAGTAATCATCGGAAAAATTGACAATAATAATTGTATCGAACCGAAATTAAGGTGCATATCTACATAAAATGTATCCGAGGGGAAAACAACGCGATTTATATAAACAAAATAAGGAGATGTGATATGATTTTCAATGACATAACTAACCATCTAACCATCAAAACAAAAGTCTGTCGATTTAAACAATTATATGGTACCATACGGCCATCAACAATGAGCAAAACCCATACCGTACCGTATAGTATGATCTATATGGCCTCGTTACTTTATTGCGCAATAATTCCCACTTGTAACACTGAAGTTATTATGCAATACAGCATTTCACATAGTAACTTCACTAAAGTATTGACAAGATCCTTATCATTTTGGTAAAAAGGTAAAAAAAAAAAAAAAAAAAAAAAAAAGACTTCGATCAAGTATCTGGAATCTACTTGTTTTAGTGAAATATTAATTTATTACTGGTGTATATATACTGATATTGATAGAGATTCTTTTGTTTTACAATAATGTACTAATGTCTATATTTAAGTAGAACACAGTGTCTTGTTATTTGTAGCGTTAATTATATTTACCTGATTTAACAGCTTCAAGGGAAAAGGTAGTAAAAAGTAGGATAAACGGATAAACTAATATACTACAAGGTAGTGACCACGGCAAACATATTCTTATATGCCGACATTTCCCAATAAAAGTGATGTTTGTTTTTTTTCTAGCAATATCGAAGACAATTGGATGCCGTATGTTCAGGAGGATGGTGGCCTATTTTATGTTATAATCAAAGATACATCTGGTCATCCAGGATTTCATGGAACCAATAGATGTTACTTTCATTCAGATGTTCAAAGAAATACAAGACGCTCTCTCTGTGATAGCTCCAGTCAAAAGAACAATCATTCTAATTCAACTAGCTGTTTAAAACATGTTCCGAATAACAACCGCTCTAAAGCATCTGGTTGTTTAAAACACACAAGTGATCATCGACAACGACACCATACATGTAGCAAAAACAATGTCTCTTCTAGTCATAACTACTGTGAATGTTTGTGTGAAAGTCAAAAATGCTTGCCTTTAAAAGAAATAAGTGAAGAATGTGACAGTTGCACTATTGCCAAGGAACTCTGTGAACGTGATGTAAATCACAATTTTTTTCACGGGAACGAACATTGTTCATTGAGTAACAACGAATCAAGTAGTGATACACAGAGCGATTCAGATAAATCATCTTTAAGTAGTTCTCCAACATCCATAGATAACTTCACCAAGAAATCAAAAAAGCCTTTTTCACAAAGGCTAAATCTAACCCGATTCCGCTTGAGATTTCGATCGGTGAAATAACTCCAGATGTTTGTACATTTTATAAAAATCAAAATGCTATTTATTAAAATATATTTATATTACATGTAGTTTATAGTTTTCTTTCAGTGCAGTTCAGTGAAATAAGATAAATACGCCAGAAAGCAAATATTACAGACTATCATTTTGCATTTTGTTACCGTAAAAAGTTTATGCATCTTATAGTGGTAGGCAAAGTTTATTTATTTGAAAAAGGAACAAGTTTGAATAAAATGGGACGTAGGGTATACGCCAATGGGACAGCAAACCAACGACACAAAAACCAAATGTAATCTAGAGATGCACACACAGTTTTCAAAAAACATTTGCCTATAATTTATCAAGATCTACATTGTCTGATAAGTAGTCAAAAAGAGGTGAAAGATACCAAAGGGATATTGAAATTCGTAAGTCGAAAACAAAATGACAATGCCATGGCAAAAAACCCCCGAAAAACCACAAAAAGACAAACATAAGTACACAATACACAACACATAGAAAACTAAAGACTGACCAACACGAACCCAACTGAAAATGCAAGTGTTTCTAAGTTAACCATTTTAAAGTTAAATATTTTTTTTCGGCAAGTAAACTGATATTGAGAAAAAAAAAGAAAGCTAGCATTTTTTGTCGTAATTTCATGTATGCTTCGTCATAATATGCTCGTAGCTGATTAAATGAAATGGAAGGGTTTTATAGGGAGGAAGGGCAATCATAGGATTGTTTATGGGTACATTTTTTTTTTATATTATGCTATTCTTTTTCTTTTTTTGTTGGTTTTTTGTGACTTTGGGTTTCTGTCTCATTTAACATAACAGCCTCCTTTTATTCATATCAATATGGTAAAAGATTTCCATAAATCTAAAAAGAGGTAGCAATAACAGATATAAAATACCTCGTCATTTCAACAACAAGCAACGTTTTATCCAAGGCCAGGTCGACGTTATCAATAAATAATTGTTCTTGTGACAAAATGCCAAAAACAGGATTAATATGCATTCATTAATTGATGTCTTATCAAAATAGATTTTTTATAGATCAGATGTTATCTTTTTAATACCTTAAACATTTATTTAAGAAAGTTTATAAGAGAACGACCTGACAAACGACAACAATATCCAAGTAAAGTAGAAGTAATAGTTGTTTTTGTATGGATAGTATCGAAGTATTTGATAGAAAGTAATTACTTTTATTTGATTTTCGGTCTATTTCTTATAAAAGATAACAAAAGTATTAAATTGGAGTTACAAATTTGTACAATATGTTTTCTAAATACAGGTTAACATATTTCGTGAAAATTTAGATAAACTGAATATAAAAATATGCATGATTGCCAATCAGACAACTCTCTACCGGAGACCTAATGACGTAGAATTTATCTTCTTCAAGTTACCTTACGTATAACATAGCAACATTAACAAGGTTCTGCCTTTCGCGTATGTCGAATCAAACCTTCAAAACTAGCTCGAGTCTTTTCATTGTCATACAAAGTGAATCTATAATATACTAGGGTTTCATTTGGAGAGTGTTCGCAGTCAATTATCGGCTCCTGACAAAATATGCTTAACATTGAGAGATTTGAAGAGTGTCGAAACCACTTTATTACAAAGAGAAAGTAATCAAGATATCGGACGATTGAAGACTGCGGCAAATCCGAAAAGACAAACAAAAAACATTCAATTTATCACCAGAAAGTACACATATAGACAGACAGCAACATGCAACATTTAAGTTTAGGCCATGACACTTTCCATGAACACCGGCGGTGATATCATCTAACCCGGAAGGTTTAGTCCCAGATTGGACGCATCATATGGTGTTGCTCATTAAATTAAGTAAACCGGAATTCGAAACTAAAAGAGGCATACTTGCTTTGAAGACAGGATGAATGTTTTATCGAAACAGTTTCTATTAATCAGCTTCTATAAATGATTCATATTGAACGAATACATTGCAATTGATATATAAAAATAAGGTGATACACCACTGTCTTTGGTTAAGGGGGAGGGGGGGGGGGGGTGGCACCAGCAAAAATGTTTAACCCCGTCACATTCTGTATGTGCCTGTCTTAACTCAGGAGCCTGTAATTCAGTGGTTGCCGTTTGTTGCTGTTTATCATATATGGTTTTCGTTAATTGTTTTGTACATAAATCAGGCCGTTAGTTTTATAGTTTGAATTGTTTTACATTTGTGATTTCAGGCCTTTTATAGCTTACTATGCGGTATGGGTTTTATTCATTGTTGAAGGCCTTATATTTATATGATGTGGTATGATTGCCAATTACAAAACTATCCAGCAATTGCTATATAAAAATAAGGTGATGTGGTATGATTGGCATTAAGACACTATTCATCAGAGTCCAAATGACATGAATGTAAGCAACTATACGCCACTGTACGGCCTTGAAAAATTAGCAAGCCATCATACCGTATAGTCAGCTATAAAAGGCCCCGACATGACAAAATGTAAAACCATACAAACGAGAAAACCAACGGTCTTATTTAAATGTATTACAAAACAATAAACAAAAAAATGACATACAAAAAACATCGACAACCATTGAACTACATGCTTCTGACTTGGTTCAGACAAATAACGACTGTGGCGGGGTTAAACATTTTTTTTGAGTGCTCATCCCTCCCCTAACCTTGGACCGTAGTGTAAAAGCACAACATAAGAACAAAGTTTAAAAACCAGTTGTAAAATAGTACTTTTTCGTGTTGAATTGAACAGCTCATTTGAACATTTTAATTCTGGTATCTATGATGAGTTTATTTCTATACAACGTAAAAAATCATATTAATATCCTTTCACTACAATTTGCGTTTTCTCATATAAAAGCAATTCAGCCGTGCCAAAAGGAAATCAGTAACTGATCATAAAAGAGGATTTATTCTATGGAGTCAAAGCACTGAATTATTACTTAATATTTTGTGATTGCTATTTTTAATTGGTAGACGAATTATGACCATTGTTTGTTTTAATGAGTGCTTTATGTTATCAATGAGATACTTAAATAAATAACTGAATGTCTTCTAATGCTGTAAACCTGGTAATATATAAGACTTTTATTTTCTAAAGATAGTTTGAAAAGTAAAGGTTCCCGTATCCCTCATTTAACAATTACTGTACATATTTTTGCACTGTCAGTGAGCTGGTTAACCATTTTCACGAATGACCCAGTATTAAAGAGTAAAAGAAATTTGAATGATTTAGGAATAAAACATATTTATAAATATTTCAAAGACAGTTCTATAATTCCATTGTGGATATAAGAATTATATATTGAAGGAAAATCGCTATACATTCATTTACATATGGAAGTCTATTAAAAATAAACTCCATAAAACAGATTTATGATGAGGATAACGATTTAAACTTGTTAATGAGACTTCAAAAAAGTAATTATCGTTTATGGTTATTAATCAGTGTCATTTTTTTTTCAAATACACAACATAAAAATAATGTTTAACCAAACAGCAGTCCGCATTAACTTATCCGAATTAATTAGATAAACAAAATGGTACAATTAATGGATTAATTTGAAAAATTCTATGAAAGTATGGTTTGGCTTTGCATACCAAGAAAAACTGAGTACTCGGAAACTTAGAACATTGTGATTTTACTCGTCCTATTTTCCAGAAACACAAATATGAGTTCATATTACAAAGCTTTTCAATGTTGTCTACGATTTATATCTGCACATAACATACTTAATGATATGTTGGTCTTTGTTTGTTTACACTGCATTTTAGGCATTTTATTTTTGTCTTGTTATAAAGTTTCATCATTTTGTACTAAACTTCAAGTTTAAGACACCTTAGCCGATTTGTTTTTGTTTAGACTGTCGCTGGGTTCAATGCTGTATATTATTTTGTTATTCCATACTGCAGACTTCAAGCTCACATATAAAAGTTTAGTAAAAATTATACATTATGTTATTACACACAAGTACTGCACAAAGGTTGGAATATGAAGACCGTTTGTAGATATACAAACATATGTCCGTAATATCCGATACAGTATAAGGTGTCAGACCACCAATTTACTCCCTATAATTTAGAACGTATGTAAAAGTAGCCCTACTCTGACACAACATAGTGCTTTTGATGTCATTGTTACTTAAAATAACCAACAAATTTGCAGAAATGAAACTTTTGGTGAAAGAGAAATATGTTTAGACCATTTTGAGCCAAAATTTTCTTGTCTATGAGTTTGCATTAAAAATTGAGGATTAATGCGCTCCATAGTATACTAATTTAAGATATCCAGAAAACCAGGGGTTATGTTTAGTAGTACTTGTCCACCGAAAGGCATTTTTTTCTTAGAAGTCTTTAAACATGGGTTGAAAAATGGCATGTAGAAAGGTGATACATGTACAATTCAGGATATACCTGGTTTCTATGAAGTTAAACTTAAGGTAAAATATTAAGAAAGCTGTGAAAATTGCAAAATTTGGTTGAATAGATAGGGATTTTGAATTGGTGGTCTGACACCTTTGAAGCGAAAAGCGGTGAAACCAGAAAATCAGAAAAAAATATGATTTTGTTGTCTTAACTGATCATTTAAAATGATAGTAGCCCCATTTCAACCTTTTTTTTGGCAAAAAGTCACAAATATTGCAAAATTAGAGCCTTTAGCCTGAATTTGTGTTATTTTTTAGCTTTTCCCACCCTTACCATATGCATTAATATAAAAAATGTCTTAAATTGTTATGAATAAATAAAATTAAGAATGGAAATGGGGAATGTGTCAAAGGGACAACAACCCGACCAAACAGCAGAAAGCAGCCGACGGCCACCAATTGGTCTTCAACACAGCGAGAAAATCCCGCACCCGGAGGCGGGCTTCAGCTGGCCCCTAAACAAAATGTGTACTAGTTCAATGAAAATGGACGTCACACTAAACTCCAAAACATATAAATGAACTAAAATTAAAAAACATACAAGACTAACAAAGGCCAGAGGCTCCTGACTTGGGACAGGCGCAAAAATGCGGCGGGGTTAAACATGTTTTGTGAAATCTCAACCCTCCCCCTATACCTCTAGCCAATGTAGAATAATA